TCAATCATAAAAGCAGACACAATATTATACACACAGTAAAAACAAGTAAAATAGAATTGAAATATGAACAAGACCTAAGGAAATTTAAATTAAACATCCACGCAAAACTTAAAAAAAGAACCATTTTTTAAGTTGTGTTTCCAGAACTAGACTGAACCTTAAAGACTTGGAAACACGAATATATAAGTTTGTTTTGCATATTTCCGCTAGCGTGTATAACACGTTAAGCTAACGTGTATAATATATTGTCACAAGAGCCAATTTACAGAATATGCCTTATATTCCTAAATGATACTGGAAAGACATGTTTTTATAAAGCATGCTAACTATGCTACAATAAGACTGAAAAAGATCCATCCATCATCTTCCACTTATTCCGAAGTCGGGTCACGGGGGCAGCAGCTTGATCAGGGAGGCCCAGACGTCTCTTTCCACAGCCACCACTTCCAGCTCTTCTGAGAGGATTCCAAGGCGTTCCCAGGCCAACCGAGAAACATAGTCTCATAGACTGATAAAGATATTCTAGATTATCTGTCATGAAGAAAATTTTCCAACTCTCCATGCGTCCCTTTGATTGCTTTAAATGTCTTGATGTGGCCCATTGGAAAAAATGTTGCCCGCCGCTGTGCTAGAATATAATATTAGATGTAGATACTTACCATGCAGTGATAAAGTACAATATTATATGCTAAAAACAATTGGTTTACAAACGCTTATTGTGCTTACAAGGTGGTAACTTAGTGTGAAATGTTTACTATAACAACTCTAGATGAAATATATAAGTGGACAGAGTTGGCTCACTATTTGGCAAGAAACTGAGCAGTTTTGTCTCTCTGTCACCCTTAATTAATGCATAATAAACAATTATTAATGATTTATAAAGTGTTTATAGAGGCATTAATAACGTATAAACTATTTATTAGCCATTTATAGGGGAGCCTTATTGTAAAGTGGTACTGAATTCTGTTTTGTAAACCTTCACACGACAGTCAGTTTTGCAAAACGTGATCACTTACAGAGAAAACTGAATATTTACAGTCCAGACAGCAGCAGCTGTAATCAGCTGTAGCACTTCTGGTTCAGTCTGAAGCACTTCCAGCTGGGGTTTATTATTATTAATATTATTGCTTGGTGCAAAATTATTGGTGATGCAAAACGTTAAATTGAAATTGGTTTAAGATGGCTGCAATCTAGTTTTAACCTCGATTGAACTGGTCAGTCTGGCTGTCCGCTCAAGAAATCACTAACAAACTAAGCAAAATGATGTCATAAAAAAATGTAGCGGTTCAAAAAGTTGTTGTATACGCCTGAAAAACAATATAAAAAATATGTTTTGTTTGGCTAGCCATTAGCCTAGCCTGGGCAATAACTTCTGCCCTTTTCTACATTCTCCCATGTCACAGCTCATAATGTACTATTTCCCAGAATATTTAGAAAATAAACAAACTGTCCCCATAACTTGGCTTACTTTCCAAGTCTCCTTTAATTTGAGAAGAAAAAAAAAAAGTATGTATTTTGGTTTTACTGGGTTAAAATCCTATTTTTTCCACTGGGCTTTAATACTTTGAATTCCCTGGAGGCGATGAGTTTAGGAGCAGTCACTTTTTAACGTTTTTTTGTTTAATCATCTCAAACAGGTGGTCGTTAATTTTGCGGATGCGCGGTTCTTTTGAAGGTGAGCTGGCAGCAAACTGGGGGGAAAAAGTGAGGTTGTTACGAAGCAAAGTTTTTCCGTTCCTCTCTCAAGTGAGGCACTGACCCTTGAGGAGTTTATACTGATAAAGCTATACAGTCTCTCAGATAGAGTGCATGCCACGGAGAGCAGGTCATGGAAAAGTCTCCAGTTTGATTAAGTGCACTCTCTTTTCTACCCTGTCTGTCAGTCCGTCTCAGCTTCACTCACTCACTCACCATGTGCACACACGCAGTCACGTCCACAGAGCAGAGCTCAAGTTCACTTTCACATCCACTCCAACACACTGACCAGTGTGTGCACGCACATCACTGAATGCTGAGGTAATTTGTGGCGATAGAACACCTCATAACCGAGGGTAAAAGAAACAAACGTCACATGCTTGGGTTTACAAAGCTTTAAAAGGCTATGCTGAAGGATTCATGTCAAGAAGTATATTATCAGTACCATAATGGATGAGTTTGGAGGAATAACTCACATTTACTTCTTGGGGAGAAACACTGTAAGATGGAAAAAGAAAACTCTCAAACCATAAAAACCAGATCAGTGTGCATAAAATTAGATATCTTTCCAGTGCTTATTTTTGCGATCTCAGCATTTGAAGACGTTCGGGTCATTTCAAAGGTTATACTTCCTAAAATTAAACCTGTTAAACAATGCATGACCCACAGCTTGTTTAGTCTTTAAACATTTCAACCAATAGGCGGGAATGATTAATGTTTGGATAAACTTTTCTGTGTATTTTTATGTTTTTGTCTTGCTCATATCTTAATAATTGAAAGTGTACTGTTTTGTTTAGTTAACTTGATGAATGAGTGTCAGAGGTTTTTTCCCTATTTCTCACATGGCCTTGGAAAGATAAGTGTCCCCATGAGGCCTCTTTTCTCTTTTTTGTGAGTGTTAGTGATTTTACCTTCTGAAAGTAGTTTCCCTATAATGTGTTGGATTTAAACTATATGAAGATCCATACATGGTGCAATGTTATTACATAGACTATTACATTTTAAGAAATTCTGGTAGCACTAATTATTAAATTGCACACACACAAAGGCACATACTTGCATTGCTATATGCCCCAGCTGAAAACTATCACTCCATCTTTGCAGCAATCTACCTATAAAGGCAATTAAAATACCATTCAAATAATGTGTTTATATAAGACACATAGTGCCAAGATGTTTAAGATTTTTTTTCTTTATTTGCATCAGATCTGTTTTGCTGCACAAGCATTTAATCATTTTGGTACGGAATCTTACTATTTTAAATAGTAGTATTGTGACAAGTGTGGTTCTCGATGTTTTCAAACATGCAGTAGTTCATCCGTTAATTAAGAAACCTGGGCTTGACCCTTCGACTTGCTCAAATTTCAGACCAATCTCAAAACTTCCCTTCCTGTCCAAAATCCTGGAGAAAATAGTTTTCATTCAATTCAACAAGTTTTTGAATGAGAACAGAATCTTCGAGATTTTTCAATCTGGTTTTAAGCAACTCCACAGCACTGAAACAGCATTAGTGAGGGTTTGTAACGACATTATGATATGAAATGATTCTGGTCAATTTGTGGTACTTTTGCTCCTGGACCTTACTGCTGCTTTTGATACTGTTGACCACAGTATCCTCATATCACGGCTGGAACAGTGGGTTGGGATCACAGGTGCTGCATTAGAATGGTTCCGCTCATACCTGAGTGGCAGGAGTTTCTGTGTCAAGGTTGGTAATAATATATCCGCTTCATTACCTCTTTCTTGCGGGGTCCCACAGGGTTCGATTCTTGGACCCCTTCTGTTCTCACTTTATTTGCTCCCACTGGGGTCCATCCTGAGGAAGCATGGTCTTTCATTCCATTGCTATGCTGATGACTACCAGATCTACCTGCCTGTGAAACCAGCAAGTGTTTGCTCCATTCACCCTCTGTTAAAATGTCTGGATGACATTAAGGCCTGGATGGCTTCAAATTTCTTAAGTTTTAACAATGAGAAGACCGAAGTCATTGTTTTTAGCCCTAGCTCAACTGCCACCACTGATCCTGTCAACCTGGACTCTCTTCAGCCTTATCTGAAGCAGTCTGGTAAAAATCTCGGGATGGTTTTAGACTCTGACTTCAAGTTTGACAAACAAATCAACTCTGTTCTGCAGAAAAGCTTCTTCCAACTAAGACAGGTAGCTAAACTCAAGCCAGTGTTGTCCAGACCCGACCTTGAGAAACTAGTCCACGCCTTTGTCACGACCCGATTGGACTATTGCAACGCACTGTATGCTGAGATCAGCCAGGCCTCCATCTCACATCTTCAGCTCGTCCAGAATGCTGCTGCTCGGCTTTTAACCGGAACTCGTAGGTCTGAACATATTACACCAGTTCTGTCCTCACTTCACTGGCTCCCTGTTCGTATGAGGATAGTCTTTAAAATTCTTCTGTTGACCTTCAAATGCTTAAATGGCCTCGCACCCCTTTACCTCTCTGAGCTTCTGGAACCTTACGTTCCCCCTCGAGCCCTGAGATCATCCGATCAGCTGCTTTTGGCTGTTCCAAAAACAAGACTGAAGCTCAGAGAAGATCAGGCTTTTTCAGTCATGGGGCCCAAACTCTGGAACAACCTGCCCCCCAACATCAGGCAGGCCACCTCCGTTCCTCACTTCAAGTCCTGCTAAAAACACATCTATTCTCTCAGGCATTTCATACAGTGTAAATTGATCTAGTGGTTTTTAATCTGTGACCTTATGTTTTAAATGCTTTTTATTAATTCTTCAGTTATTATTATTAGTGTATTGTATATATATGTATATATATATTTTTTTTTTCTCTTTAATTAACTCATTGATTGTTGTTAAGCACTTTGATAACAGGTTCTGTTTTAAATGTGCTCTATAAATAAAGTTGACTTGGAACATTTTGAATAAGCAGACTTCCTCCATCTAAACCTCCTCTTTAGCACATCCCACTGAAGACTTTAAATGTGGAGCAAACTTTGACTGCTTCTAAAAATATAACTTTCACACTCGCTATCAGCAGACATCTATCCAGAGAGGGACTTGTGCTGCATGTTTTTTTTTTTTCTGTAGTCTGTCACTGAGCTCCATGACGGTAGCTGCTCCCAAACAGCGCCCCCTGTTGACGCGCCCGTGTAAAGAAAGTTGAGAGGTCATAATTCAGTAAAAGACTGCTGCTCCGTGCGTTTAAATGCTGTGCGGTATCATAAACATAAAGTTTACGTTTATGAACACGATGCGAAGCGACGTCATCAAGCAGCGACGCTAAGCTCCGAGCGAAGCTGCTTTGCATGTTAGCTGGTGTTAGCAAGTTGCTAGCAGGCTAACTACTATGTCGCAACCAAGTTTTTGGACTTATTGGAGCTAACGTGACTTGCACATCTGAATCTAGCTGTGGCTGCTGAGGAAAGACACGAAGGTGGGTGTCACTTTACCCGAAAGTAAGTTGGAGCTGTAGTTACTATATTATTATGCTAACTTGAGCTAGTTTTGACGTTTATATTATGTTAGCGTTGTTGCTCATGTTAGCTTGAATTTGAGATTACTGACTGCAGTCACATCGAGTTAAATTAAATAAATTAATATCTTTTTTTATTCACATAATGTCGTTAACTACCATTATAATTGTTCATTATTAACCTTAGGCTTTAAATCTTACAAAAAACAAACACTGTATGGTTCAATATTTTGTAATGCCTTTGAATTAAGGAATTATTTATTTGAACAACGACAGTGCACGTCGCATAAATTAAAGTTAGCTTTATCTAATTCACGTTTATGATAATGATTTTCCTGGTTGCCCCAGGTTATAGCAAATGTTATACTGATGAAAAATTCATACTTTTGATAACGCATATCTTTGTTATTGCTGTGCAAACTATTCTAATCTGTTCATCTATTTGTTCATGGTTCTCTAGATGAATAATGCAAAATAGCGCGCGATTTTATCTGTTTTTGGTTTCTGTTATCTTGTTACTCTCCTGTCGTCTTTTTTTAGAGTTCTGTTCCGTCAGTAAACAAGAAAACAACATCCGAACCTGAGTTCAGACTTTTTTTTCCCACCTTTTTGTCCCACAGACTACATTTTATAAAACTGTAATACTCTTAAAACCTAAGTCTGGATAAAACAATACCCCGTAGAAGAATTTTTCTTTTCAACTTAACTTAGGTTCGATCCATCAATCCATCCATTATCATCTTCTTGTTCTGGAGTTGGGTCTCAGGAGCAGCAGCTTGAGCAGGGAGGCGCAGAGACCTCTTTCCACAGCCATCTTATCCATCTCTTCAGGGAGGACTCAAAGGTATTCCCAGGCCAGCTGAGGGACATAGTCTATCCAGCATAAACCTGGGTCTTCCTCAGGGTCTCCTCCTAGATGGTATGCTTGGAAGCTAGGTAGATGTCCAGGAAGCATCTGTACCAAATACCCAAGCCACCTCAACTGGTTCCTCTCGATGTGGAGCTGTGGCTTTACTCCCAGTTTCTCCTGGATAACTGAACTTCTCATCCTATGGAAGAGTTCATCTACCCAGCAGAGAAAACTCATTTTGACCACTTGCATCTGGGATCACATCCTTTCTGTCACTACCTAAAGTTCATGATCATAGGTGAGGGTAGGGACAAAGATCAACAGGCATGTCAACAGTGCCTGTCAGTCTTTCTTCCGTCACTCATAAACAAAACTCTGAGATACTTAAACTCCTCCACTTGAGACAGCACCTCACTCCCAACTCAGATTGTGCAGTCCACCCTTTCTGACTGAGGACCATAGCCTCAGATTTGGAGGTGCTCATCCTAGTTGCTTCACACTCCGCTGCAAACCGCTCCTGTTAGATGGAGATCATGGCACCTGATGCCAACAGGACCATATTATCCCAAAATAGCAGAGATGGAATCTTGATGCCATCAAACCGGACTCCCCTCGCCCTGGGCTGCACTGAGAATTTCTGTCCATAAAATATGAACGTTTGGTGACAACAAGCAGATGACAAGGGAGGGTCCAGGTCTTACAGGTCTGTCTTGTAAATGAGACCTCAAGGCTCAATGGGAACTGTATAAATAAAGGTTGAATGAATGAGTCCAACTCCCACCCTGAAGGGGTCTGATTTACTGCCAGCAATGCAAACCAAACTTTCACGTTGCTTGTGTAGGGACTGTTAATTAGCTTAGCTGCCTGGCTTTTTCTAAAATAAAAATCTAGGAACTAATAATTTATCCATCCATTATCTTTAACCACTTCTTCCTTTTCGAGTCATGGGGGGTCACTGGTGCCCATATCCAGTGTGCGAGAGGCAGGGGACATCTGGACAGGTCTCAAGTCCATCACAGACAAATAATTTAAAATATAAATACAAAAGTAAACAAAGACTTCAGCCTACCATATTTTATTAACATTTAACTCAAAATAAAATACAGACTTCACAGTTTTTTAAAACTACTGCACTAAATATCCTGATGCATGCTCAATAATCCACCTAGAAAAATCTAAAAAAGTTAAATCTGGTCCTCTGGACATTCAAAAAAAAAAAAAAAATTATTTGTAGAAACGTTTCGTCTCTCATCCAAGAGACTTCCTCAGTCTGAGGTGCTGTATTCAGCTCAGTCTCTAAAATAGCACCTTCTCAGAGTGGATCAACCAGTTTTGCTGCTGACAACCAAAACCAGCTGATCACATGCTCAAGAAGGACCATCAGCCTAACAATTGGTCATTAGCACCTGATGGCTGTTTACTGTTCACAGAGGGCTGAGTGATACTAGCAATCACAGCATTGTAAGAGGGGGACGGTTGAACCCGGAGGCCTCCACCCCTGTTTAATGATGGACGATTTCTTTTCACAAAGATGGCCTCCTTTACTCCTCTCTCAAACATCTTCATCCCTGAAAGAGTGGCCGCTGGCCTGGAGATGAGTGTAGACTGCAGAGTCCTGGCCTGATGATGTTGCTCTTCTGTGCTGGGCCATCCTTTTGACCAGTGGCTGTTTAATTTCCCCGATGTAAGACTGATCACCCTCCTGACACTGAACAGCATACACAATATTACTCTGTTTGTGCCGGGGGACTGGATCTTTGTCGTAATGTATTTTGGGGTTTAAAAGCCACTGGGACATTATGTACTGCACTAACATTTGTTATGGGGGAGTGGTGGCGCAGAGGTTAGAGAAGGTGGGCCTGTGATCGAAAGATTGTCGGTTCAAGCCCCGGTACCGACAACATCAACAATGTGGGTGGGGTAGGTGAAGCACCCATACCTGCACACCACCCTCATTCACCCCACTCTGGGCCCTTGAGCAAGGCCCTTAACCCCCACCATGTGCTCCCTAAACAGGTCTCTCTTGAAAATGAGTTCTCGTGGCTCAATGAGACTACCTGGATAAGTAACGGGTAAATGAAAACATTGAAATGAAAAATGTTATATTTTCAAAACTAAACCTAATATGAAATATACAGACTTCACAGTTTTAACCATATTGATTCATATTTGGTAAATCTTTAACAAAATTTCAAAACCTGTGCAAGTCTGTACAAAAACTCTTCTGAACTGTAATTTATAAACCAAAATAAATTGTATCATTTAGAACTGGCTGCAGGTGATGTGTCTCATCCGTCCTCTTCAACCTGTTAAAAAGACAAATTATATTAAGTTTGTTGTATAACTTGTCTATAAGTTTTAATATAATATGAGAACAAACAGTTACGTCTGAGCTGCAGCTGGTACAGAATTTGATTCACTCCTATATTGCTGATTTTGGTATAAATATAAAATGATGCATAAAGATTTGATACAGTAAATAAGTTTTAAATAAATGTTCTATTATTTTTACATTGTTGTTCTTTTCATCTTATCATTTACATAATTGAAACAAAATTTATGACCATTTCAATAGAAAAATCGTTTCTGAATTGAAAATCATTTTTGAATCGAATCGGAATCAGAATCGCCAGACACTGAGAGAGTTGCACCCATCATGGTCATGGCAATGAATCCCCAATCCCATTCTCAAGGAGCACCCCCCCCCCCCCACCACCACCACCTTGAGGAACACGACCAAATGCCTTCTCCCATGACCCAAAACGCATGTAGGTTGGTTGGGCAACCTACATTCACAACTGGGGCGGAAGCTGCATTGCTCCTTCTGAATCTGAGCTTTGACCATGGATCATCAGACTCTCTTCTCTAGCACCTCTGAATGGACCGTACCAGGGAGGCTAAGGACTTTGTTGCCCCTGTAATTGAAACACACTCTCCATTCACTCTTTTTGAAAAAGGGAACCACCTGCCAGTCCAGATGCACTGCCCCAGAGGGGTGTTAACCTAGACAGCCCAGTGACATCCAGAGTCTCGAGGAACTCGGGGTGGAACTTGTTTATCGCAGGAACCCTCCTACCTCGGCAAGATCATATTAACAGGATCTGCCAGCATCAGCTGCAGCAGACGGGTCCAAACAGAACACAACTGCCTTGGTCAAATAGAAGATGGGACCTTTCCCTACCGTATTTTGTGAAATACTGAATAGTTGTTTACTTTGTTGGACCGAGTACAAACATCTGAGTCATATTGTGACGTAAAGTGGGCATTAATCATCACTCAATGACATCCGTAACACATAAATGGGGATATGAACAAAATGTCCTCTATGCAGCTCAAATTATGGGCTAATAGTATCGTCTCGCATGCTAATATAGTTAGTCTCAAACCCTGTAAAATATTTGTCCTAATAAACACTCACAACCGCAGTGTGATATTCCATTTAATTTATTAGATTCTTCTGTTGGAGTGTGACTCGTTTAACCAGATAAATACATCGGCCATTTATTGGAACTTATTACTACTTCCATTAACAATGCTTTGTTCTGCATTTCCTGATGCAGGATAATGTACTCATTCAGAAATATGTTATTTATATAGTGTGTATATAGAAAGGTCCTTGAAGCAGTCAGCGTAGACTCCTTTTTTTTACTTTTCACAACAACAAGAGCACAGGTGAAATAACAGAGTAGTTCTCCAGCATAACATGACAACAAACCAAACAGTTGTGCACGTCTGCAAGACAACAAGATATCCTATTCAAAGTTTTACAAATTAGGTACTGGGACAGAGTTTCTTATGTTAAATTTGCTTAAGACACTTTATGTATCAAACACTGTAGACCTAACCCCCAGCCCCACCCCTGGAGCACATAAACACCACTTAAGTTCATTCTTTAGCTGAGACATGCTTGGCCTCTTTACTTTGTTTAGATGTCTGGTCTTGGAGTTAGGAATGCAACATGACTGCCAGAGAATCCAGACGCAGATTGTGTGTGTGGAGCTGTATTTGGATGAGTGCACGTTTCTGTGGTTGCAGCATGCATTGGGAAATACAGAAGCAAATACCTGTTTATTGAATGTTTTAAATGTCATTATTTCTTTTCTTACTTCCTGTCTCTAGATGCATCATTTTTAATACTGGTATATGAATTGACCCATCTTTTAGTTACATTACCCATCCAATAATGTTTTTTTTTTTTAATTTTACATGTGTTGTAAACTAAGTCATAGTGTGGCAATTCTGCTGAACAAGCCAGTTATTCTCACCGGTCATGCCTCATATTTTCCATCGTTAAGCTTTGTAACCTTTAAACCCTCATTGCCACCATAAGCATGCACACAAACACTCCTGCAATGCACAGTGAGACTCTGCGGTTGCTGCCATGTGAATCACTGCGTCATGTAGTAGTCAGCGGGGGCCAGATGATGAGCGATTTGCTTGAACCAAGGCTTTGTACAATTATGAGGTGGAAAGGTGTCAGCTGAAGCTCAAAGATGAGGGGGAAACACCTGCTGGTGGGTGGGGGATGATAAAAGCTCCCTAAAGCATCACGTTATGCGTCAGCAAAGCAATTACCTAATTAAATCATGTTCTGTAAGTTTATTCTATATAGGCTCTGTGGTAATTTGGTTGTTTCATCAGTAAATATAGGATCATCATACCAGCTCTCAGTGAAAGTTTGCATGTTCTGCCTCTAGATGGTTTGGTTAGGTACTGTATCAGTTTTATGTCATGAAAATAACTTACCAGATTAGGTCAACTGGACCTTTGGAACAAATAATAAAATAAATACACTGTGTTAAGGATTTGTTTTCTTCATTTGGAATTCCTTTTGGACCAGATGTAAATATGTCACATTTTGTCCCACGTTAGGAACATCTGTTTCAGGAAGTCGATGCTTGCTCCGTGGCTATTTGCAAACACTGCAACACCAGTCATGTTTAGTATTCAGGCAAATCGAACCTCTTAACTTATTTACTGAGGCACTTTAAGAGGAGTTATTGAGATGGTTGTAGGGTTAGCAGTAGAAGTGAACTTAGTGTCCCTGAAAAGATACTGGAGTCCCTCTGGCATCATTAGATAAGTCATTTAACTCCTTAGTTATGTCATGGATAATTGAAGGTCTTGTCTTTTGGTTTTAAACATCAGCTCACTCCCCTCAAGGATACAGCGATCATGAGTATTTATGAAGTGTTGTAGCTATTAGGTTTAGGTTTATTTGTCATATGCAGATCAACACAAGGTCAACAATGCAATGAAATGCTCAGGACGAGAAGAACAGTCTCGACTCGCCAATAAAAAAAAAGTATGCAAGAAAAATATAAAAACAAGTCGCCAAAAGTGAAAAAGAAAAAAACATCTACAGCGACATGGTCTCATTAGCAGCATGGTCCTGTTAGCAGAGTGATTCTGTTAGCAGAGTGGTTCTGTTAGCAGAGTGATTCTGTTAGCAGAGTGGTTCTGTTAGCGGTGTGGTTCTGTTAGCGGTGTGGTTCTGTTAG